CTTATAATTTATTACTAATTGCCTAAGTACTTTTATTAATTTTGTAATAAAACATGGATTAAAAAAATAAAAATAAAATTTTATATGAATTTCTAGTGTGCGTGGCTATTGGCGGCTGATTGCCTTGTGTTCGCGCCTAGCTCATTTGAGCTTATTTGTATGTTGTTTAGTCATTGCTACAACTAATTCACCAGGGGTTAACTTGCCTGCTTGTTTTTTTTTGTATAACTACCGCACAAAATTTTTCATTCACTTTTCAGTCTTCGCTCTGTTCGGTACCCTTAATATACAAAAACTGAAAATTGTACTTAAGCCAGTAATTAAACGTGTGAAATACCTTAACGAGTTTATTTTAAGCTCCATATGTCCTCTACGAGACACCTTGGTCACAAAAACGAAGATTTTACTTTATGCACTAGAGCACAAAATCGTATTTTACGCAGCCCACACCTAGCAAAAACGAACTTTAAGAGCATGAGAAGTGAAATAGTTATTTTTTATGCAAAAGGCTGCAAGTTGTTTGACGCAAGTGCTTGTATTGAAATCTGAGCAAGCGAAGGAGCCCAAGATTGAAAAATAGAATCTTGAGCGTAGCGAGAGTTTCAAGGCAAGAGACGCTAAACAACTTTGCTGCCAAACTTACAACTTTTCCCTCACTTTAACGAGGAAAATGGTAGATGAAAGAAATAAAGTTGAACAAACCAGTTTGAAATTTAGTTAACGTTGTCAATTTAATGTCGACAATAATAAGAATACATACATCAACGGATTTATATTACATAAATAATGTACGACAGATCGCGTAGTTGAACGTGTCATTATGTTTTTTTTTCATCGAAAGAAAAACTTACGTGCATCACAGTCCGTTGTCAAGTTCGAATTTCAAAAACCTTTTTCCCGCTCTAGCGTGCAAAAGACGTTTTGCGCGCAGATTTCTAATGAAAAAGAAAGCCTTTCCGAGGTAGTGAGGTGAAAACGATATTTTTCTAATGTGTAATACAAACTTAATTTATTAATTGATTAATATGTATTCATATTATTAATTAATTACTGTTGCCCTTTATTATACATATATGAATTTAATGATCGGGCGCTAACCCAGCTTGTGTGAAATTATAAATAGGTCGTAAGTGTAGGTTACTTGGGGTAAACCTATTTTTTTCGGTTACTCCGGTTGTTCTACTTCGAGTCACTTGTTGGTTGTTATTTGTATTTGAAATATTATAAATATTCCACTAGACCACCTTACCACTTGAATAATACTTCTACCTATCCCGTGGGATACTGAAGAGCAGTATTTGCCGTTTATATTAACCAATCCAACCCAAGACACACAACTTTACTTATTATGCAATGTGAAAAATCCACTAAGCACTTTATTTATCGAAGTAACTTGTAAATGAAATGAAATCGACATAAATAATTGACACTTTAGCTATGATCTGGACCTAAGTGTTCTTATTTGTGTATATTATTGTATACCACTTCACTCCAGTATGAAATAATTATGTGAATTAAAAGCAATTGAAAATAGATAGTAGTTACTTTCTATTATACTTAGCCTTTACATACGCGCATAAAATAACACGGTATTCAAATGGAATCATTATAATCGTGATTGTGTCAGTTTGCCATTGATTTACTGTACAGTAAGTAGAGTAAGTCAATGGCAACTACATTATATATTTCCAGGGAATCCTAAGTGACGAGTAGAGCAGTGTGTCACTTCCACGCTCCAGCGTTCGGCTCAACGCCTATTGTTTGTACGATTAGCCAGAGTTGACTGTACCAGTTAAGCTTGTTAGCTGACGGACCATTGTGGAAAATATTAAAGCAGGATGTAAACAACGATTTAGTGGCCACTGATTAACTAATTACGGTTAGAAATAAACAGCTTGATTATTGTTTACCTCTGACCGTGTTTACTGTTTGCACTCTCCCGGACGTTTGTGAGACTGGCGCGGTCCCGACTTGGCGAGGCGCACGTGCACCTGGAATGTCCTTCATACCTGATATAACTCGTAAGCTTTTGAATCGCGTCTATTGCAATGTGACACAACATACGTCGACTATGTGTGGATTGCCACACAAACTCCATGGCAGAACATGGGTCTCTTTATGGAAAAAAATGGAAATTATATGATAAAATTAATTCTTGGAATAAAATAAGTTGTCTTTGCCCGTCCAGTCAATTCGCCCTTTCTACATAAACATCGAGTCACAGTGTTTTCAATAACAATATTTTAACAGAAGAAGAGATGAAATCAATTGTTGTAAATGAGAAAGTTCTGTTGGCATTTCGATGAACGTCGTCCTTGTGTTGAATTACAGAGTGACGACATTCGGGATCAGGAACGTCATTTGCAAAACAACCGAACAAACTGAGCGCCGCCGGCGTTTTTGTCCCATTTCTTTATTCTCTCATCGCCCACTACGGTACCCAATTTAATGGTTTTGATTGAATTACATTGTGCTGTAAAACTTGCCCCCTAATATATTAAGTAACCGAAATCGACAATTCAAAATATCTTCGGTGTGTCTGAGAAAGTAGGGAAATTAATCAGCCTCGAATTGGTATGAAAAAGTGATATAACTATCTTTATAAGTAAGTTATACGCAGTGGCTCACGAACTCAAGTACTTATAATGCGAGGATGAGTGAGTTCATAGTGTTTAAGGCGGCCGCTATGGAAATTACTTATTCGCAGATACCGGGAGTGTCACTTTGCGTATAACTTTGTCTAAGGTGTCTAAATTGGAATATTTGATTAATGGAGTCACTGACGATCTCAAAGACACATACAGTACAGTACATGTGCTGCGTCGTACAATTCATACAAGCGCTTCCATACAAGACATCAAGAACCATGTACTTGGCATTGGCGGCCTCGGTAATCACATACGGGTTGAGCAGGTACGGAAGTACCTATAAAACTTACTAAGAAGATATATACAACCTACAAATAACACTACTTAAAACGATTGCACACGTTAAAATTAAAAATATGTATAAAGATGGCCACTGCACACAATTATTTGGCCACTGCAAAGTGCTAAGTATATTTGATAAAATAAGAAGGCTAACTATTTGCGTAAGCTTCACACTAATACATGAATTAGAACAAAAAAGATACCTTCTAATTTGCGTAGTTTATCGTACTTACCGACTTACATTTTTCTTGAGTATAAAAATGTATATGAAGAAAGAAGAAGGACTACGTGCTCCCTGATACGCTAAACGCATTACCTAAACCCCTTATACAGAAAATATGTAAAAATGTAAAACAAGGCAAAAACAGGTTGAAGGCATTTTTCGTCAAACAATACTCTGGTACTGTTTGATGAAAAATGTGATCAAGTACATATTAATATGGTTATTGTTGTTAGTAGTAATATTAGTTAAGGATAAAAATTAAAATATTATTATTGTTAGTCGTAACAGTCACAATTTCTCTTGTTTAATACTATTTCCTTTAATTTAGTATATTTTTATTTTTCTAAAAGAAAGAGCATTGTGCTGTGCGACGCTTGAAGCCACCTTTTTTTTTTAGTCGTAGCCACCTGCGTATAAACCCGTTAAATGGATTGCGGTAGGTAGGTTAGGGTAAAAACCAATGTAAATTATTTTGTTTTGGAAAAACAAAAGAAAAAAAATTGCACGCTATAAGTACTAGACTGGTAAAAATACCGCTTTTTAAAGCATACTGTCAAGAGCTGAATATGTGCCGTCTATGGGTCTCGTATTCACGGCGTGCATTAAGCGACCTACGTGTCCAAGAGAATAACTCGTTCGGGTGTGCGTGACGGTCTCCCGTGGAGACTCACACATGGCGATCTTGAGGAAACGGTGTGCGCCTGCGCTAGCACGCCTCTGAGGGAACTTCAACAGCGTCTGGCGTCTGTCCTCAGATATTAGGGAGTAGCCATTACTGCGAAAATGAATTGACCTCCATATCTCAATCCAATCTTAATTATTTACAATATAATAACACACACGCTCAACATATCCTCGCACTAGGGAAAACCCTGTGTCGCGGGAGCCATGGACACACACATAGACAACCACAATTTACATCCAAACTCACGAGAGGATTAAACGCATTGAAGTGAAACTGAATTTACAAAGAGCAACCTCTTCAGTTTGTCACTCGTTCTTGTCGCGGGAATCTACCTTACGAATGAGTTGCTACTCAGCAGACCATGTGACCATTTCAATAATTTGCTTATCTATGAAATGAAGATACATTTGAATTTAGAAGTGACTCATTAGATAGAAGTAAGTTGTGTTGTGCGACATTGTATGAACTTTTGCGATGCGACCGACAGAGTTGCCTTCGCAATGACATTGTTATGGCGACTATGGGCGGTGCCCCGGCGCAGTAGCGCGCCAGCTAATGGCGACCTTAAGTAAATTGTAATTGTGCCGTTTTGGGAAGATCAATTGTCCCATTGTTGGTATCATATCGGGATTCCACGCAACGGTTGTAAACAAAGTTCGTCAAGATAGTTCGGGTATTTCCGTCTCTCGTAGCACAACGCCTGTTTGGGGCGTCTCTATACTTTTCGAGAATTATTTGCAATTCTCTGTAGCAGTGGTTTTTAATAGTAATAGGTTCTTAATAAATGAAAAAGAAGTTTGTACGTGTATAACAGTTTACTCACTACGCGCGCGCTCGCACGGAAAGGTACCTGTTCTTAATATTATTTTATGTAAATCCGACAATTTAAAGTGTGCTTTATTTCAATATATAATTAAATAATAATAGCAAATAATGAATGAATTATTTTTTGAAATACAAGACTAAAACGTACTTACGACTTAAAAATACATGCAGTGGGGGGTCTGTCGACTTCGAACTGTTATTAATTATTTACGGCCAAGTGATAATTCGTTATGTGCCTTCATTATATTGTTTTGAAGCCCTGTCTAATTTACTTGTGTGTTGTGTGCGGAGCGAAGGGCGCCGCGATAAGCGCTGCAGCCCCCACGCGCCGAAGCAAATATTCCTCTGTTGCGGTTCGCGCCCATTTATACGCCGCCACCGCCAGTTCCGGCGCATTCCCACGACGCCCTTCGCGCGAACACGTCCGCTTCTCGTTTACTCCAACTACTCCGCTATGGCCAAGTTCATGGTTCTCCTCGTCGCCTGCCTCGCCACGGTACGTGCTTACGTTTCTATTGTTTTAAAAAAATTTCATTGTTTCTGTAAATTTATCTTTAGCGTAGAATACCTCTAACAGAATTCGTTTAATATATTTCCATCACACGCTAGTCTAAAGCGGAGTTTTTACGAATTACTCAAACGTGCGGGTTTCGCGCTCTGCGAGAAGGCCCGCTCCTAGCAGCTTTGTTTGGATTTCTAAAGTCTGCCACGGTTTGTAAAGGTTAGATATGAACGCGTTATAGTTCTTCGAACGTGCTATACAATGACGTGTACAGGACTTTGATGTGAGCAACCGTTGCAACACAAGTCGAATAACCCATGCGGCGAGTGTACATACGCTTGTTTTGGGAAGCAGGCGAGCGCGAGCGCGCGCATGCGCCGTGACGCGCCAGCCGCCAGCTCTCCGCTCGCCGACATCGAGAAGCACGCCAGCGAGTTCCAGAAGACGTTCAGCGAGCAGCTCAACTCGTTGGCCAACTCCAAGAACACGCAGGAATTTAACAAAGCTCTCAAAGAAGGCTCTGACTCCGTGCTACAGCAGTTGTCCGCTCTCTCCTCGAGCTTGCAAAACGCAGTACGTATTTTACCTCATATTTTATGTTTATCGGTGTTTGTCTGCCGTAAAATCCTGGAAATCAAGTTTTGTTCGTCGCACTCCGTTTAACACCTATACATATATATTATATTAATTCCGCACAGTTTTATGAAGAAAACGTACTTCCTGACGTTCAATTCATATGAATAGTTCGTTAACCGGACATGGCTTGACTTCATCGTTATCGTCGGTCGTTTTCTGTGAAGGTCAAAGGGTCAGCTATCACTTGCCCCGCACAATCACTACGCGGTTTGCCTAAGAGCAAATGATAATCTTACTAAATGTTGTTTATTATTCACTACTTGCACGATAAAAATTTGCCTGTAATGGAACATTACATCGGACTGGACGAATGACTTACTGAATATACTTCGACTTATAAAAAATATTGTGACAACACTACTGTTATTACTATTACGTCTATGGTAGCAAGCAGTAGAGCACCACATTTTATTTGCTTGTGAGTGCGTTCCTCGAAAATTATTTGATTGATGAACGTGTGAAAAGATTTAAACCGTTTATCTTAGCGCGATCGTAGTGCTCATACGCACGTTGACTGTGCACCGCCGCGCGCCAAATGTTGGCTGAGCAGGTGTTGGGCTTCACTTAACTAGAAAATTTTGTAGGAATAAGACCACTGACTGATTGTCAAAAGTGTACACAGGCGCCTACGTTTTAAAGAAAACGAAGAAACTTAGTGAACATTTCATACATTTATCCTTTCTCAGCTGACCGACGCCAACGGAAAAGCGAAAGAGGCTCTACAGCAGACACAAGCGCAGCTGCAGCGCACGGCCGACGAGCTGCGCAGGTCGCACCCCGAGGTGGAGCAGCAGGCGGCGGCGCTCAAGGACAAGCTGCAGAGCGCCGTGCAAGCCACCGTTCAGGTCAGCTGTTGTGCCTTTCTGTTTGTTCTATGGAACGGTTCCTCGCCGTCGGCCGCCGTCGTCGCCAGCCCGAGGGCCAACGTCCAGTCGCCCCGGCTGTGGCGGTAATGGGGTCATATGGTGTTACAGGAGACGCAGAAGCTGGCTAAGGAGGTGGCGTCGAACATGGAACAGACTAACCAGAAACTGGCCCCCAAGATCAAGGAGGCGTACGATGACTTCGTGAAGCAGGCCGAGCAAGTCCAAAAGAAACTGCACGAGGCCGCCACCAAGCAGTGACACGCCTGTGCCGACAATTTACGACAATACAGTACATTTACTACAATATACTTTTAGGTATTCGTGTTAAAGTGTGTTTTATTCAACTACTCAATTCTACATCATACAATACCAAAATAAAACAAAACGAAGGAAGTGCGGACATAAATTTCACGCTTCTGTTACGTAGCTGGCTTCGTGGCCGAACGGTTACCATGCTGGTCTGCCACGCAGAGGTCACGGGTTCACGGGTTCGATTCCCGCGCATGGAAATATATATATATTTATTTGAAAAGAGCAATCTTTTCAAATAAACTTAAATGCTATGGAATACACTTTGAATCAAATTTGTGTGGATTCTGGAGCCGTGTCGACTTTCCATACATTTTTATCGAACACGTAGTATTCAATTTTGTAATATGATTTCTCGATCAAAATATTTTTAATGTAGTTTTTGGATGAATATCAACAGATGCATTTTATTGTAAATTTTGGTGGCGCAATTTTTTTTTAGATTTTCCAGTATCCGAGACTCGTTTGCAATAAAATGAAACATTTAATTTATATATACGTGACCGGGACATAACCATTTCCATTAATTTCAGAGATATAAGTAATTAAAAATTTTTCTCGCCACCAATACTAAGGATCGTATTCCAGAACTCTACTCAATACTCAAGTCAGGACTTGAGTATTGCAGTGAGCACTGAAAATCATACTCAAGTCCTTGCCATTAGGGTCATGCCATCATGCCATCATGCCATTTCCAGTGCTTGAAATCATACTCAAGTCTGCTCAAATCCTGACTTGAGCATTGAGTAGAGTTCTAGAATACGACCCTTAGAAACGCCACCAAAACGCTTATTGTTAACGCAAAAGAACTCCGGCGCAGCTGGGCCGCCCGCGCGCCCCTCACTCGATTCATTCCGCCATCGTAGCTAAGCGTGCTCACACGTATTACCTTTCACTGTAGCAATTGGAATACACGCTCCAAAGGTTTTCATGTCATTTTATTTCATTAAGTAGCTGAATCCTCAATAGTAAAGTATTAACACTTATCGGTTGCACCAGAATTGAATATTGCCACCAAAGTTGGAATATATATAAAAACAAAGACAATTAAGTAAATTCAATTATTTCTTTAAATTTAATTGTGATAAAAATTTGTTTGCCCCTTTAAAACGACGCACACATGGAATTTTCTTCTGCTTTTTCTTTTTAATATCATGTGACGGCACGAACGAGTCATGCGCCTGATGGTAAGCTACACGCCTGTCCATAACAGTGGCAATGCCATTCAGAGCTTTAAATAAGCAAAGATCTGAGTAGCACTGCCACTGCGCCCGTCACCCTTAGACGTAAGTTGGCAAGTCCTATGTGCCTGTAACTTCACCAGCACCCTTACCCTTCCAAACCTAACTATGCTAACATTACTGCTTGGCGGCAGAAATGGGTAAGGTGGTGGTGGAGGATAAGGCAAGTTAGGTAACATCCTTAAATCAGGTAAGGTTCCACAGTGCCTGAAGACCCGCTTGTTTAATCAATGTACTCTGCCCACCATGACGTATGGTGACGAGACGTGGACGGTCACGCAGGAGACTGTATACAGGTTGAGAGTTGCACAGAGGGCCATGGGGCGCGCTATGCTCGGCATCAGCCTTGTAGACCGAGTTCCGAACTTTGAGATCCGACGATGGACGAAAGTCCAGGATGCTGGAACTTGGATCATGGAACTCAAATGGGAATGGGCGGGACACCTAGTTAGGCAAGGTGATGACAGGTGGAGCAAGACATCGACAGATTGGTGGGCGAGGATGGGCAAAAGATGCGTCGGGGGCCCTGTTGCAAGGTGGGTCGACGACATAGTACGCGTCGCGGGGCGTCAATGGATGCGGCTAGCACGGGACCGTGATAGATGGCACAAAGTTCGGGAGGCCTATACCCAGCAGTGGGTGAAATCAGGCTGTGAATGATGATGATGCCTCATTAAGCCTCAATGTCACGATAAACCCACCTCATGTCCTCATGGTAAACATTTGAGTTTTTACAATTTATCTTCAGAAAACATTCCTGGAGATAGCGTAGTGTATCGTAGTTATTCAACTGCCAATGAAAACAACAATGAACTAAAGTTTCGTGTTTGACGTTCTCAACAAAGTCATTTAATTTTAATTAAAATTTTAATTTTAAAACAAAAAATTTAAGTAAAATACAAATTTAAAAGATCGCTAAGGTGCAAATCGATCAAAAAGCAATTAAGAAATTTTTGGTTATCTGGAAAATTATGGATAACACTATCTTTCTTAAGTTTATTGGGACAAATAAACCAAAATACTTTAAAACAATTTTCGAAAGTGAACGTTATATTCAAAAATATCATAACAATTTAAAATTCGGTGGCGTTTTTAAGTTAAGGTGGTAACACAAACGCCACCAAATTTGTGCCACGTGAGATGAAATCTCAAAAAATAAATTACGGAAAAAAAAGTAAAAGCTTAAAAATCAAACCGAGACGATTAAATTGTGATAAAATAATGACAAAATTAGTGTGTTAATTTGGTTTCAGAATACGACATTAGGATAAAACAAAAATTGAGCCCAAATGGAGCCAGGAAAACTAAATATTTTTTTCACCTCAGCAGCTCGAACAAGGCTATTTTGCTGTGTGAAATCAGTGAGCAAAATCTTATTTTGCTCACTCCGTGAGAAAAAGTAGCTTTTTGCTTTTTAAGTGGAGACTTGTCATTTAATGCGAAGGGTTCTAATACAAATTCGACATATTTCAAAATCAGTCGCTCCGTCCCTTTCACTTCATTACAAGAAAAAGGAAAAAGAAAATTATGGTTTATTCGTACTTCGATATTTAAGCTACATAGTAGACCCCCACAAAATGGCTGAACGAGTGCACGTTCGGAAACTCGTCAATTCATCTAAAAGATAAATTATGTGAGAAATACAAATACGATTTTATACTATGATAATTTAGTTTTTACAATTTTCATTAAAAATAAAGCAAGTGTTGCAATAAAAATATGCTAAATTTATAACGTCAATTAAAGATAACAATATTTACAATGTGTGATTTCAATGAATACAAGCGAGAACGTTCCGGAACGCAATAAATAAAAGCGCGCTTTCTTTTTTTTTT